TTGCTACACAGCATAAGGACCCCAATATGTATCAGAAAATGTAATAAAAATTTGGAGAGATTTCGGAGCCACTTCTTGAAAAAACCATGGGCCATAGCCTTGGGTATTTTTTTTAATTTTGGCATTTTATTAAAATGGCCGTAACTTGAAAAATTGAAGTTGGAATCACCTCAAACTTGCTACACAGCATAAGGACATCAATATGTGTCAGAAAATGTAATAAAATTAGCATAAATTTGTCGGAATAAGCCATGGGCTATACATGTAGTTTCAGAATTATTGTTTAACTTAAAAATACAAACATTAATATAAAACTTACTTTGGAATAGAAATAGAATCTTCCAATAATTGTCTTTCTGCCATCAACTCAATCACTTTATGCTCAAGCTATCAATAATTAATTAACTAATAATTAATAACTATTAATAACTACCTTAGCTTTATCTGCTTCAAGTTTAGCATTCAATAAGTTCAAATCTTCAGCTCCTCCTCCTCCTCTCTCTCCTCCTTTCTCCTCTTTGATTTCGTGTATTTTTGTTTCCAGTTGTTTCCTTAGTTTACTTTAGGGCTGAAACGAATAGTGAGATATTCGAATATTCGTTCGTTAAAGCAATATTCGAATAGTTTTTTTACTATTCGAACTATTCGCCTAATAAAATTATTAATGGTTATTGCAATAATTAACGACCACGCCCACCGCGTGTCACCTGCACAGGCTTCTTTCTTATAGTCTCGCGTAGCCAGACCCATCCCCCTTTTTGACATTTGGACGGCGGGGGAAGGGTCTGGTAGACTGACCTACATGAACTTGTTCCAGGCAGATCAAAGGAGCGACCGTCGGCTTGGTCAGTGTGAGTGACGTCAGGCAATAAAGACTAATTAAAGAGGTATAATTAGAAAAGACGGGCGTGGCTACACAAGATGGCTGACAGTCTTCCTTTAGCAGTGAAGAGTTTTCCACCCATTTTGGTATTATTCGAAAGAAAAAAGGCTCCCAAAAGCTACTGTTCACTTGCATCTGGACTGTCACTCTACCAGACTGGATTATGGCAACCCTAACACATGCTTTTGGGTCTGTAAATGGTTTTTTCATACATCATTTGAAGTGCTGTCAATATTTCATGCTTACTGTACAGGTAGGAAGGTAGCATTGTTGTGTGTGATCTAATGGGAGTAATAAAGATTTTACCAACCACAAAAGCCAATGGAATCGAAGTAAAGATGACAGAGTATCCTACAAAATGTCATTGGAAGAAGTTGCATGCAGCACTGAGTCTTGAAGACTATTTTGATACTTGTTGTGACGTCTGTTGTACATTGTAATTGATATTTTTTGATTGCATGTATATGATTTAGTGTGCTTTGCATGTCAGTACTAATAATGATGAGACAATTCTTCTACACTTGCAACCATGCAGGTCACACTCTCTATACTTGCAATCATGCAGGAAACTCTTAGCATATCCAACTTAGCAGTGTATCTTCTCTTTTGAACCTTCCAAATACCACTATTGACAGTTTAAAGCAAAGCAAAGTTAGAAAAGACTGTTCACTGTTTCTATCTGCCATATTGAATCTTTTGCAATAGACACGCCCAAGAAAATTACATTAAATTATTCAACGACTTTCCATTATGACACGCTATCTATCATGGCTTCCCAATTCTCACTTCACTTCCTGGAACAACTTCATGTAGGTCAGTCTACCAGACCCTTCCCCCGCCGTCCAAATGTAAAAAAGGGGGATGGGTCTGGCTACGCGAGACTAGTAGGAGACTATCTGTACATGTGGGGTGGGGACCAGCCTGGTCTCCCTAAAGTACATAATAATGAAAAGAAGAAATCAATGTGTTCTGTGATGGAGGTGTGTCACCTAAGGACTGGTAGGTGGGAGCAGAAACCCACCACTGGTAACCCTCCACTGGGTGTTAGGGGCTATGCAGCTGCTGCCATTGGAAGGGAAATATTTTATTTTGGAGGATG